CGCTGAGCTTTGAAATTTGGCACAAGGATGTTATTGGTATTGAAAATGAGATGTATCGGTCCAAGTTTTGGTATTGCCGCCACAAAACGTACCTCCCGATATTCGGTATTTTGATTGTTTTCGCCACATTTTTTCAAGGATTTGTTTAGAATTGGCATTTGTAGTTCGTAATGACTTCTAGCTCCATCGGCGGAATATTCTATGTATATGTCCACCTTTTCGTAAAGCTCCCATATTACGGTACCTCCCGATATTCGGTATTTTGATGATTTCTGACACATTTTTTTCGGATTTATATGTATTTGTGGGCACTCCGTGGCTAAAAATTAAATATCTAGGTCCATGTTTTCCTATAGCGCACATATAACGGTACCCACCGATATTCGGTATTTTGATAAACCTAGACACATTTACCCATAATTTTTTTTTTCAAATTTTGCATTTCATACTCGCAATAGATAAGAAGTATTAGAAAGTTATCTATGGGGGTTCCCTTTTTGGTATGGCCCCCACATAACGGCCTCACTTACTTTATGGTATTTTATCCAAGATTAACTACATTGTCCAAACGGTCTTATTGGTATTTGCAGTTTAAAGTCGGACACGCTTAAATTCAGATATTTTATATGAAAATGTTTTCTTTATCCAATGGTGGAGGGCATTAAAATTTCGAACCCACCCAAACTTAATTTTTTTAATAGTTTTGCAACGTATTTTTTTGAGAACACAATATTAGTGTCGAATCGAATCTTAAATTTATAAGGAGTAGTTTTAGAACCTCAAACGATTCAAAATGTTCACCTATATACCCTCAGCCAATGTTCGATTATATACATATATTTTGACCTCTGTTATGATAATTCAAATTGTAGACCCTGTACGGAGTAGGTTCCGAAGTACTGGGCCAATATTGACCATTTCGTATTAAATAAATATGATATAAATATTGTAACGTGCCACGTTTGGACTATATTGGTAACTTCCTTCACTGTATATGAGGCATGTGATATTTTTTAGAAAACGTTAAAATGTGGGTAAGGTGACGTGTTCCATTAAATATTGGCATGGGAAAAATTAGAAGAAAATTGAACATTTATATCCAATTTTATCGAAATCATAAATTTAATATTCATCACAGATTTCTGGTTTAGTTATAGCAAGCGGTAAAGAATCGCTGACTTGATTCGCAATTTATGACAGATAAAAGTATTAAGAATTGTGGGTTAGGTACCAGAAGGGGTTAGCAGATATATATTATCTTCACAACAGATCTTGTGTTTTGTATGTGTAAAATTTGAAGAGAGTTGGATGCTTATTTCGCTTTCTTTGAGCGTTTTGTTTTTCAAAATCTTGACACTATGAGGGGGAGGTACCAGAAGAAATGATCCGATTTTTACCATATATATAACAAATCTTGTGTTAATGGAAATATTGTGATATACCAAATCTGAATGGAATCGGATGTTGTTTCGCGTTTTATAACAAATCTTATGTTGATAGAAATACAGAGATATACCGAGTCTGACTGGAATCGGAAGTTTATTTCACTCTTTATGAGCTTCATTGATATTGAAAATTTCGACCCTTTGTGGTGGAGGTACTAGAAGGAGTGGACTGATATATTCCATCTTCACAACAGACGTTGGATTACTAAAATATTGTCTTGTGTGCGATATGAACACAATCGGACACTTTCATCACATTTTACAAGAGATATTATTATTCAAAATGTTGACCCTTTGGGGCGGAGGTACTTGATGGAGTGGATCGATATTGTCCATTTTCGCACCCAATCTAGCTCTGCTGCAAATATCAGGATTTGTAAAGTGGGAGTCCTTTATCTTTCTGTGCAGTAAATATTCTTTTTGTAAATTGCGACCTTTTGTGGGTGAGGTACCAAAAGGAGTGAACCGATATTGCACATTTTCGAACTAGATCTAAATTTTATTATAATATTATGATGTACCAAGTTGGACCAAATCGAGTACTCTCTTCGAGAATTATCGTGCGCACCAGAGAGATAAACTCCAAATGTCCTGAAACGGACTTGGTCCAAAGAGACCTAGCGTCTAAAAGCGTTATTTCATAAAAATAACAATGCGTGGAAGTGTCGGTATATGTTTTTATCCATTTGAAATCTGATCATCAAAATACCGAATATGAGGTATGTACTGTTATTTGGGGGATAAACGAAAACCTGGACGTATATTAACACATTTTTGTAGGTAGATATTACAAACTTTAAATGTAAAATTCGTTAACGAATTTATACACCAAATATTGGTGGGCACCAACAAATGGGAGCAATGCTCAACAGTGACCTTTTCTGGCAGTCTTATGCCAAATTGGACAATATCTTAATATATCGAATTCCAGAGAAATCTATTGAAAATTTTTGCCTAATATCATTAATAATTAAATCTGGAGGTACCATTTTATGTGGAACTGTTTCCCATTACGCATTTCCGATACCAATTTTCAAAGATTCTTTTAAAAATTTGACTAAAATTATAAAAAAAAAATAAAACAAGTAAGCAAGGGGCCGACTATGTGATACCCTACAACACTACAATATGTTAGAAGCCCCCTTATGTCCGAATACATTTTGGAAGATTTCGCTTTTGAAATTATATCATAGAGAACGGCCGAGATATTACCCTTAGTGTTTTGACCAGGGATACTTGCCCAATATTTACGCACTCCGTAAATATTTTGCGATCATCTCCAAAAGCAAGAGGCCCCTCTGTACCTCCAAATTTTGACTCGTCTATGTGATTTGGTTGTCTACGACACTTGCCTATATTCATCAACGAAATCAACAAAAAAAAAAGCCAGAAGTTCGCCTTTGGTGTATTTCTGATATCGCCTGTAAGTAATGTTGGTATTTTTTCACACAAAAGTAGTGGTCCATTCTACCCGCTTTCCTAAATTTTAACTTCATGCGAGATTTCGTGTCCTTTGGTTTCTATTTGCGACCTTCTAACGGCTGCGAAATCAGGAACATTTTTAGTGGTTGGTCAACCCCTAAATATATTGCGGTCATCTTTGAAAACAATAGCTCTTCTGAGCCTAACCCTACCCTTGTGAAAATTTTCGTGAGGATCGAATGATAATTGCAATCTGTATATAATAACAACAACCCGTGTTGTAAGGTGAAAAAATTTTAAAAAATGTACATTTCAATATTATAAGTCAAATTGTAAAAATCGCATGCGATAAAAAATATGAAAAAATAAAAAAATGTCACAACATGCTACAAAATCTATAATAACACCATTATTGGCACATTTTTATGCGATTTTTTCAGATTTTATTCTCTTATGCCAAGAGGGCATTCTGAATTGACAAAATTTGTTAAAATCGGACGAGCCATCCTTCAGATATATGCATTCTAGCTAACATCCCTTCCATTGTATATTTACATTGTATATATTTCCCGATATATATCAGATATATTTACTATCGGCATCTACGTAACGGTCAGAATTGACCTCTTCATCTATTTGTGATTTCGCTGAGATTAAAAATAGTCGCGGTTTAATAAAAAATTTGACTTTAATTTAACATAAATGCTATGGTCTATTTCACCCACTAAATATTACCCGATGACCACCAAAATTGGAAGACTTCTGCCCAGCCCTAAGCTCTAGGGCCATGCTAACTTCCGCTTCGATTGGTCTATAATTGCGACCTGTAGAGCAACTGCAAAATCAGGAAAATTTCCAGTTTTTGGTCCATTCCAAAAGAAATAGGGTTCTATTCTGAACCTAGCCCCACCTCCATTCTAAATTTCGTGAAGATCGGGCCATAATTGCGACCTGTAGAGTGATTACAAATTAACATGGACAGACGGACGGATGGACATACATAGCTAGATCGACTCAGCTCGGCGAGATAGGAAGATTCATATATACTTTCCTATGTGGGAAACCAATATTTCGTGGTGTTACATAATTTTTGGACCAATCAAACTTATAATACCCTTAACAAATAGTGTTGTAGGGTATAAATGTTGAACTATAATATTGTAGACTATAAGAAAACGTGAACCTACAGGCAATTTTCTGCAAGAGGGACACCTAATCATTGCTATCATAACACACAGATTTAAAATAACACCGTTGAAAAAAGTAGCTCAAATTTATAATATACCGGATATTTGAGGATGCCGATACATGGAACCGTTATAATCACAAACAAAAACTGTTTTCTAAAGCTGATTAAGCAAATATATATAGTTTATAGCATATAATGTGACAATTTTTATTAGTTACAAACGGAATGACAATCTAAATATACCCACCGTAGTATGGTGGAGGATATACAAATTACGACAATGTGTGGACGACGTCACCGTTTGAGGATGAAATATCAAATATGGCTCTCTACCACACGAATGTTTCATTCTTCAAAGAAGATGTGTTTATTTTTTGGTCGGACTTTACATTTAATCACTCGAGAGTTAAGGGCAATTTTTGACATTCTCTTACTTTTTAAAATTTTCTCACTAATTTTCTGAAAATTTATTGACAAGAACAATTATAACTCTTAAAGCTTACATTTTTTGCATAATGTATACAATATTTATTTCCTCGTAGAATGTAAGTTTCTTAGTAATAAAGGATATATAATAATACATTTATTTGATTTTAGTCAGAATGAGGATTGAGGTGTAGCATACATTTGCAACTCATTGAGATGGCGCTAGATTCCAGTTACCTAGCTCATAAACTGCTCAACTTGAAACAGAAAATTGTAATTTGCTATCCACAAATGACCTTCGTAACGTCAAGCTGAAAACTTTGCGGCAACGGACTGATATTCTCAGAAATAAATTCTGCAGAAAAAGGTCATAAACTATTAACAAAATTTCGTTCATGTCAATGTCCAATCTTGGCAAATCAAATTAACATTTCATAACGAAAATAAAGCAGGAAAAATTGTTTATTTATTAAAGCGGTCCACTGACATTCTATTAAATATTAATTGTTTATACTTACCACATAATTCAGCATCATGACATTTGATGGTTCTGAAAGAAACACTTGTTTATTAATATGCATTTATAATTTATTAAATATTTCGAGAAATATTTTTGCAATGTATACAGAACTAAAGTAATAAAAATAAAGGCACAAATTTAAAAAATGCATTTAAGCATTATGATATTACATAAACTCTCTCTAAATATTTCAATAAAATTCAAAATTGCCATAATTTCATAATTGATGAAAAAATGGATAGCCAAATGTTTACTTTATTTCTTTGAATCTAATCCATTTTCGTTCAAAATATTTAAATGCAATTTCAAAATAAAATGAACAAAATATGTATTTATTATGGCATAGCCAACATTTAAATAAATCTATCAAAAATGTATTGAAAAGCTCCGGCATTACCTTCATCCAATATATTTATGTGTATATATGTATGTACATATAAAAAAAATTCTATTGAATGTTGCTGTTGTGATTTCAATCCATTCGCTTTGTTTCGGATGCGTTTCGTTTCAAGATGTGACAAGGATCATATGCTTGTGTTTAGTCCATTATCGAGAAATCTGGGTATTTGGGTTGAGCATAACCGATTGACGGATGTTCAGAGCAAAAAAAGGGTGTGCATTTGTGTGAGAGTGTATGTATGTGTTTGACACTCGTGCATAGCCAGATTTGAAATATTTTTCAACAATTGACTGCATATGTGTTCAAATATTATTACCAATATTAAGGGACAGCCAACCAAAAAAAAAAAAAAAAAAAAAATGAATTTTGGGTGCTTGGCATCACCAGCTGTGTTTCCTTTTTTTATTTTGGATGTAACACGGCATGGTCAAACAAAAAACCAATGGGGTTCTCAATATTTATGGTTTATGCTGTCATTTTGCTTTATTCCATAACTTGGACATGGACATCATTGTGAATAAATGTGGAGGAGTAATATTCGAGAGGGGAACATTTGTTCTTTGATGTCTTTAAGAGTAGCAAAAAATAGAATAGAAAATTTATGATTATTGATATACTTGGACTACAGCTTGGCCGAATTAGGGGTTATCTGTAAATATTGATTTCTTCACGAAAATTATCCAATTTTATACTCTATGTACAAGAAATTTTAAATTCATGAATATCTGTTCAGAATTTGGTATAGTTTCAACAAATAATGTCCTTCTATTGCATTTCATAATAATTATATGATGCAGTAAAACTGAAATATTTTCTTGACTAAACGAACTAATGCTTATTTTTATACCCTGTACCATCCTCCACTCCTCTACTGAGGGTATATTAGGTTTGTCATTCCGTTTGTAGCTCCTCGAAGTACTCATGTTAGACCCCACAAAGTATAGACAGGGTGAGATATAGATAACTGAAACCAACTACAGACTGCTGTCATTTCTAAGCTACTCGTCCGATAGCTGTTAAAATTATTCCAGTGACAGCTTATTTTATTGTTTACAAGAGCACAAAAGCATTTTGATGAGAATTTTCCAGAAAAAAAGTTATTCGTGATGGAATTCAAGCGTGATAGTGTGATTTTTTTATATTTGGCTGGATAACCACAAGTGGCTATCGTTACACCAATCCAATAATAATGTGAATAAATCTTTTGTGTCTCGTACCATCACTCGTTACCGTGATACTGGTAGCGTAGCCCGACGTCAAGGAAGTGGACGGAAGAAAACAGCAACATCGGCAGAAATGATTCGAAAAATAAAGAAGCGACCTGATCGAAACCCGCGTCGCAGTGGCCGAAAAATGGCTTGTGAGCAGAACATATCACAATATTCCATTCGGCAAATATTGGAAAATGAACTCGGGGTAAAGCCATTGAAATTCCAAAAAAGTGCAAGAACTTACACCGCAATAGAAGGAAAATAGTCTCAAAAGAGCTAAAGAGTTGCTTCGCTTGGCCGAAAGTGGTGAACTGCCGAATTTGTTTTCTCCGATGAGAAAACATTCGTTTTCTAGCAGTTTGTAAAGAAACACCTTGATCGTGATTGCTTGCCAAAGAGATCAGCTGAAAATGTGCACCTTTGGTTGGCCACCAGAACTCAAGCGCCGGCCATGGTGATGGTGTGGGCCGCCATAACAGCCGATGGTGCTTCTCCGCTCATATTAATCGACTGTGGCGTCAGTATAAATGCCAAATATTATCGCGAAAATATTATGGAGGGTGTATTAAAGCCTTGCAAACATTTTGACCGCAGACCTTGGACATTCCAACAGGACTCAGCACTATCGCACTCAGCACGCGCCACCCAAGAATGGTTACAAAATGAGGTCCCTCGCTTCGTTTCCAGCGCACAATGACCACCAAAATCTCCCAAGCAAGCAAGCGCTTTGCTGGGAATGGGACAAAATACCGCAGAGCAACATTCGGGCAGCATGTGACGATTTCATTGACCGTTTGAAGGCCATAAATCTAAAATTATTCCAAAATTTGATCCTATTTCCGACATTTTTGTGAAAATTATGGCGTTTGACTTTGTTGCAGTATTTTTAACTCACCCTGTGTATTCTGGATCAGCGTAAAATTCTAAATCGATTTATCGATGTCCGTCTGTCTGTTGTAACCTCAATATATATTTCATACGAATTAAGTTTGAAGGCTAACATTTTGCATAAATGCATAGTTTACCAGTAGGCAGGGCCATATCGGTCCAGGTTTTCTTATAGCCCCTATATGACGGTACCTCCCGATATTCTGTATTTTCATGATTTTTAACCAATTTTGTATTCCAATTTTTTGTATGTAACCAATTTTGTATTTCAAGTTCGTAATGGGTACTGCAGCCTATGACAAAAAATTTCGTATGCAGGTCCACGTCTTCGTATAGACCCCATATAAATGTACCTCCGGATATTCGATATTTTAATGATTTTAGCGACATTATTCACCGGAAACATTTCAAATTTCGTACTGGAAGATCTTAATGGGTACTTCAAACTATGGCAGAAAAACATTTCCTATGCAGGTCCACATCTTCGCATAGGCCCCATATAACGGACCTCCCGGTATCCGATATTTTCATGATTTTTGCCACATTATTCCCCGGAATAGTAACAAATTTCGTATAGGATGATCTTAATGGATAAAACAATCTATGGCAAAACACTTCGTATGCAGGTCACGTCTTAGCATAGCTCCCATATGACGGTACCTCCTGATACTCTGTATTTTCATGATTTTTGCGACATTATTCACCGGAATTGTAACAAATTTCGTGTATAAAGTTCGTAATGGGTACTACAGTGTATGACAAAAAATTTCGTTTGGAAGTTCACGTTTTCGTATAGGCCCCATATAACGGTACCTCCCGATATTCGTTATTTTCATGATTTTAGCGACATTATGTATTGGAATTATTCCAAATTTCGTATTTGAAGTTCGTAATGGGTAAGTAGGTTCACGTCTTCGTATAGCCACCGTATAACGGTTTCATTTAAGCGATAGTTTTCGATTTTTTTTTAATTTTTTTTCAAGTCCCTTCCAAATGATGGAGGGTATTAAAACTTCGACCCTGCCGAACTTAGCTGCTTTTTAACTTATTATTTTCTACATTTCAAACCCTGTATTTATTCCTTCAATGCACGTTGATCTGACTATTTACTCAAGCTCTTCACCGGCAAATTATCACTGAAGTATTCCAGAATGAAAATTCTTTCTCCTCCCCATTAATCATTGCTGCTTGTCATCGTTTTCGTCCTTGGTTTCATCCATCATTGCTTAACTATTTCCCTCCATATATGTGTTTGGGTTTTGTTTGGATTCTTCTGCTTTTGTTGAGTGTTTGTGACTTCTTTGGCAGGACGCGACTTTATCTTCAAGTGCATTCATTCCCAACCAACACCACCAGCACTACCACTAGGCCGTAATTAAGTTGCACGCATTAATCATTCGTTTGTTCTTTAATTTTGAGTGTGTCAGAAAGGGGGCCATGCAGAGAATATGGAAATTTTGTCTGACTTGGAAAAACCAAATGAAATCCTTAATTGTGTCATTGTTTTTTTTTTTTTTTTTTTTTTTTTTTTTGTGAGAGTGAGGTGTTTTCCTCCCCACATGCCACACAGCCAGGTGGTGTTGAGTGTTTTTTTTTTTTCTTTTTCTATGTAAGCATTTTAACACCATTTTAACTTCAAACCACTTTCATTTACTTAAATTTCCACTTGTTGGCTGCAGAGTTGTTGTTCACACATACACACACACACACAACGATCGCCTTTTTCCATATTTTAGTTTTCGCCCTTCACATCCACTGACCCCGATTTTTGTTAGATCTTCATTTTGTGTGACTTTTAGTTCCTTTGCTGGAGCTTTTAAATTCTTGTTATTTATAACAGCTGCTAAGTGTTATGAGAGGGTAAAGCATGTTGCGGGAAAAGTGTGTGCGTGTCTGGGTCGGTGTTAAAATATCGTTTAACGACTCACACACAGGTGGTATTGCTTTTAGCCATTAAAAATTCTGTTACAAATAGTGTTAAATTGTTGACACCAAATATATATACTTTTTTATATTCCTGACGTATTGAACAAGAAAGTGTTTTGGGTTTGAGCAATTATAATGGACGACGAAGAGGAAAATGTTTTGGATTTAGAATTGTTTGAATGGTGCAATAGAAGGAATGTTTATTGTTGTCTGAGTGGGGGGTTATATACGTAATCAGAAATATGGGTTATAACAATATCGGACAGCAAAGTCTTTCCTTCGTCATGAAATTGCTAGCGGAAGAGAAGCTCATATCCACCAAAATCTCATTAAAAGGTCCGCAATTGATAAAGTATGGGAGGCTAAAAAAGAAGACGGGTCACTGGAAAACAAAAAACGGCATCACCACCCTCAAAAGCTTTAGCTAACCGAAACCAAAAGTTTTCAATGTAGCTGGTTCTTAATTTAAAATTTCCTCATTTTAGGAAAATGTACGTGGGCAAAATATTTTGATGTCAAAATACGAATAAACATTCGTTGAATAATCGAGTAAATGCAGGGTGAGATAAAAATAACAGCAGCAAAGTCAAACGCCATAATTTTTA